CTAAATTTCTTTTTATTGCATTTGCAAAGCGCAAGCTCCTCCTTAATACTATTTATGATGTCTCCTCTCTGTAATGTTTTGGTAACCTGGGTTTGCTTTTTTGATCCTGTATGCTGTTTGATGGGTCTTTGACCGTAATAAATAATGATGATGATGATGATGATGATGAAAGCCGAATGGTGGTGGCACTTCTCTAAAGCATTCCACACGCTCCAAAATCAGTTTGCTCTCTGATCTGTCATTCAGAGGGTCTCCCTATCCACTGGCTGCTTTGCCTGAGTCCTGCCTCCAGCATTCTAAACATTTTGCTGTTCCTCTCCCCCCCATAGCCAGTCAGAACACAGAGGTTATTTGCATATGCAGCCTCATTGGCCTCTGCCTCGGAACACAGAGGTCGTTTGCATATGCGACTTGATTGGCTTTTGCCTCTAACATTCTAAACAGTTTTGCTCTTCTGAGGTAAAATGTGTCCAATCTCCAGGTGAGGGCTGGAGATCACTCAGAATTACAACTCCTTTCCAGATGGCAGAGATCAGTTCCCCTGAAGAAAATGGTGGGCTCTGTATCCTTATATGCTGCTGAAGTTGCCCCTGTATGACAGCCAATGTGATGTAGCAGTCAGGGCTGCAGAGCATGGGGGAGGCTGCAGGTGTGTTGGGGGTGGAAAGCTGAAGAGTGAGGGGAAAATAAAGGTAGGTTGATGATTGGCTGGGAAGGAGATAGGGTTGCTAACTCCAGGTGGGAAATTCCTGGAGATGTGAGGGATGGAGCCTGGAGAGGCTGAGGTTTCAGGAGGCGTGGGACCTCAGACAGGTACAAAACCATAGACTTCACCCTCCAAACCAACTATTCCTTCTGGGAAACCATCGTTGCCAATCTCCAGGTGAGGGATGGAGAGCACTCAAAATTACAACTGTTCTTTAGGTAGCAGAGTTCCTCTGGAGAAAATGGTGGACTCAGTGTCATTATACCCTGCTGAGGTCGCCACAGCAAATTGACACTGAGTATCCAAGGCCGGGGCACCCACCCAGAGCCTCTTTTTAGAGGCCGTTGTATTTATTTATACAACGGGCCTTTTTCCTAGTTTATATATAAATGATTTTCTTCCTAGCCAGGACTATAGATCCTATTCTCTTTAGCTAAGTGATTGGCCTGTACCTTATTTAGCATAGGCAGACAATCTAGTTTTATTAGCCCATACATTCTCAGGTTTAGTGAAAGTACTGAATGAGTTTTATGATTTCAGCATCAAAGAATATTTAGAAATAAACTTTGCTAAAACAAAGGCACCACTCTTCTTTAAATCTAAACCTAAAAGGATGCATTCTATATCCTTGCAGGGAAATTCAATTGAGATAGTAAGAAATTTCAAGTACCTCGGGGTTAATGTTTTCACAAAATCTCTCTTGGGATTTGCATATCCATATTTTAATACAGAGGTTAAACTCCTCATTTATTTTCTTTTTAAAAATTATTTTATTGCAAAGGAGGGCACTTATGATCCTTTATAGAAGAATTATACACTTGGTTGTCAGACATGCTGCTCCAGTATGGAGACTTTTTCAGCTTCGAAGCTCAGTCTGTTAAAGACAGG